ACTTTAAAAGATAATTTTCCCGAAAAATACATAATTATATATATATATATATATATATATATGCATGGACTAAGTTCTGTCGACATGTCAAATATGTGGAACGTCAGCGTAATGCATCATTATATCCATTCATTTGGCTCTTCAGTTTTTATGATAATGGTGCAGATCAAATGGTCAATTTTGTTTGAATGTGGAAATTCCTAGCTTGTAAGATCTAGTTAACATTCATATGTGGATGCACGTTCATAGTCCTACAGATCTGACACTGATTTCCCTCCAATTAGGTATCATTACTTCTGAAGGAGAGTTTCATCGACTCATTCCCTAGTCGTGATCGACCATTTATGAAGGTGCGTTCCTTGAGATAATTTTCTTTTGTCTATGTGAGTGGTAAAATTGTCAAAGAAAACACAAATCTAAGCTCTGAAAGAGGCGTGACCTCGGTCAAGAATGGTTAATGTTCGTTTCGGTGTTCTGTGTTTGTATATTGTAATCAATTTATTCAAGATAAATCTTAATTCTTAACCACCCTTTTACTTTATTTCTGAAAGTGGCTTGTAATCTTTCTTCAATGCTTACTCTGGGTGCTCTTTTGAGTTGTATTGTATAAAGCTGAAAGCACACTGATGTATCCTTTTTCCTCCCTAAATGCCATGCAGCTTTTTGTGGACACACAAATGTTTTCTGTACATACGGATCTCGTTCTCTCTTTCTTCCAGAAGGAATAGTGCCGCCGCCATGCGAGGTCAGGCCTTGAGTTATATTTTTGTGCTGTGAACCTGAACGTAAGTTCAGTAATGTAAAATTATAAGTTCCGTAATTCATGAATTCAATCGTTGCTTCTTGAACGGAGCTTCGCTTCTCCGGATGAAAAGGTTGCCTGCTTTGCTGCATAATGTATCATGACGAATCTGTATTTCAACATATGAAAGAACTAAACAAAAAATTCTAGTATATCCCGCTCTAGTTGTAAATAGTAATTTTGTTTATTTATTTACCTCCACCAGTAGTGAGATTTTCCGTTGGTTTACTTATTTGAGTTGTTGATTATTGAGACCCTTAATTGGATGCTGTAATTCTGGTTTTGGGTACATATCAATTAGCGTGCTAACTACATGTTCGGCCCTGCATTTGGAATGGCTGAAAGTGCTTTTGGTGCTTTTGGATAATCCAAAAACACTTGAGCTTGGTACAATTTTCTTGTGCTTCTAGTGAAATGGATTCTAGTAGATGCACTTACGAGCAGAAATAATGGTAAATACTTTTCCCAAAAGCGATAGGATTTTGTAAAATTTTGTTGTGCTTTAGATTGATTTAACTTCTAGGTTTTTAGCAGATGCGCTTACGAGTGGAAGTACTTTTTGCCTATATTACTTCTGGATGCTGTAACAGTCGTCGTTAAAATATCATAATATTTACTTTGAAGAGAAGTGAAGAAAAAGGTGTAATTGTGGGATGAGGATCCTCTTTGTGGGATCTAGGGATTCTCACATTCTAGTCGTTCATCGTACATTGCGAGGTCAATTTTCTTCAGTTACTATTTGTGTTTAATTTTAAGACCAACTCCAATGGTAGGCTAAAAGCCAAATTACCCCACAAAATTACCCCTCAAAATTTCCCTCCAAACCCGCTCCAACCCAAGAAGAAAATTTGGGCTAAATGCTAAATGCTAAACCAAGGTCATATTTCTTCCGAAATTTAGATCAGAAATTAAAATTTAAAATTTTCAATATTTATTGAAATTTATATTTTTTTTAAATTAAAATGTTCATAAATTTAATTTACGATAGTCTACATATTTATTTATTTTTTTTAAAATTTAATTTAACAAAAAAATAGCTTAAGTTCATTCTTTAATAATTCCGGGCTAAAATTTTAGGCTAGAACGGTTGAAGCAGAAAAACTGTTTCTAGGCTAAAAGCTAAATTCTTCGGGCTAAAATATTTGGCTTTTAACCCAACCATTAAAGATGGTTTAAATAAAAAATATCAAATGATTTCTGATCGCACGATATACGATAAAATGGTTAAGATATGATAATTTCTAAGATTTTCACAATTTGGATCCGGATGGGATCCAAATCCGTAATTGTGGTCTGCCCACAGTAGAAAATGCATGTGTGTTTAGCCTGCCAGGAGAGACAGGAACAGTGCCAGACAGTGCGTACTACATTCAGTACATATTGCTACTTCCAAACGTACAACACGGGTAGTTTCATGGGAACTTGATACATGGTTTTTTTTTTCTCACTTTAACTTTTATACCAAGCTTGAGGACTTATACTTGGGATGGGACGCCAGTGTGGCAATGTCTCAAAATGTTATCGTACTATTATGTGAAAAAAGTTACATTCTTAACAATGTGTTATTGACTTAGATATCGTCATAGGAAAATCTCAAGTGTAGGTGAGTCCGTCTTCTATAGCATATGTCATATGCACTTGATGACTTCTATTTTTGAAGCAAGACTTGTTTCAAGAGAGATGATTTCTGCAGTCTTCTTTTTAGTTGTTAGATCGAATAAATATGGGAGAATCAAACATAATAACAAGTGAGGAAAGTGAAAACGGAGTTTGAAAATTATTTCTTCTTGTTTCAGAACTCAATATATGGTTTTAAAACCCCAAGCAAAACTGTAACTAATAACCATAAGAAGAAAAAAGGAAATACTTTCACCAATTTGTATATAGCCATGGGTCTCTTGGTGATGTAATCAGAGAATCAGTCGTCTACTGTTAAAGAGTCATCATCTCTCAACTTGCATGCTCCACAGTTTCATTGGGTTGGACAGTAACCTGTATGGAGAGACCAATTCAGAGTTTTTTTTTTTTTTTTTTTTTTTTTCAAAGGATAACATATATTAAAGGCGAATCAAAAGGTTTACATCTTGAGCAAGAGTATTAAACAAAAAAGCTGGGCCAATATTATCCCAGGTGAAATCACGACCTTCCTTTAGCACATACTTAGCCACCAAGTGAGCAGCCTGATTGCTCTCCCTAGGCACAAACGCAAACGTAACCGACGTCAACATTCGTGCTAGTATCTTGATATCGCCAAGAACACAGTCCAAATTAAAGTCTTCAGACACTTCTTTCCTGATCATTTGAATGATCTTCTGAACATCAGATTCGACAATTACATGATTGAATCCGTGATTAATACAAGCCGACAACGCTGAGCGTATCGCTATGGCTTCGGCCGCAGCAGCGCTTTGACAGAGCATAGTACCGGTGCCGCCCGCAGCTTGGAGCACCCCGGCAAAGTCTCTCCCCACCCAGCCCACTCCTGCACGACGGGAATCCTTGCACCAATTCAGAGTTCAGAAAATAAAAATAAATAGCAAGTGGCTCTACTATACAGTTGTGATGAGGAGTGTTGCCCTTACATTCAGGTGTGAATTTGAACTCTGTCAGCTTTTTAATCTAACAAACCTATCGCTTTACAAAAAAATAAAAATAAAAAGAAAGGAAAAATAAAAAATTGATATTGCATGTTAGTGGTATGCCATCCTTTGGGTTTGGGTAAGGTCATACATTTATTTATTTTTTTTTATAAAAAATGAGTTTCATTTCTTATTTTCTTCCTACAATAAAAAAATAAAATAAAAATAGGTGTTAATATTTAGTCTGTATACAATGTCCTGCTACTTGTATCATGGGTCTGCCATATGCCTGAAAACCCCATTTATTGAAAACTTGGTATTTCAGCCAAAAAATAAGTAAATGACTGAAGTTGTCCAAAAAAAATAAAAATAATGAAAATAACTTGAAAGTTTTGAGTTTTAACGATAATGACAAAATAAAGGGTAAAATGAATAGTATCAGGTTTGACTTTTTAACGTAAAAATGTGATTTTTCTTTAAAATGAACAGTACTGTAGATTTTTCGTTAAAACTTCGAAAAAAAAAAAACAAGGTGAGGTGATGGTGTGTTTGAAACAAAAGCAAAAGCATAAAACTATAAAAAATATCACAATAAAATTGAAGAAAAGAAAAAGAAAAAAAGAAAGAAAGAAGAAAGAAGAAAGAAGGGGGTAATAAGTAAAGTGAGGTGAGGTGATGGTGTGTTTGATGAGAGAAATCAGAAGCCAGAAGCGGTCCTGCCGCTCTGAAATCTGAATCACTGGGGTTTTTCTAAATTTCCGAAATAGAGAATGGCCAGATTGTAAGTGGGTCTCTCCGACTCTGACTCTCTCTGAGGTAAAGGAACAGAAGAAAATAAAAGTAAAAGGGTTAGTAGCTGCAGTAAAAGCCCCAACAACACCGTACAATCTCTGATCTGACCACCCGGACATGCACACACCAACTCTCTCTCTCTCTCTCTCTCTCTCTAGAGATAATCATATTAAGGAAAATACTTTGCTACTCGCATCTTAACGTGTGCGTTGAGATTTTTCAGTTTCTTTAACGAATTACTTCTTGGTATGTGAAACTACAGTATGCTTGAATGAAGAATGTTCATTTCTCGGGCACAGGTGGATTATTTTAGTAGTTAGTATCTTTCTTTTCAATTTATTTCATCCTGAATTCAAACATACTCCTTTTTTATAGTATAAATAGTGACATATAATATTGCTTGTAATAAAAATTATTTCTTTTTTCTAAAGATGCAAGTAATTAACAACTTGTTTTCTTCGTCTATTAATTTTGAGAACTTTAACGAAAAGCTTCTGGTACTGTTCACTTTAACGAAAAACCACATTTTTACACTAAAAAGTCAATCCTGGTACTATTCATTTTACCCTTTATTTTGTTCTTATCATTAAAACTCAAAGTTTTCAAGCCATTTTCATTAGTTTTCCTATTAATTTTAGCTTTTAAACTGAATAAATAAAAATAATAAATAAACAGGAATGCAAAAGAAAGAAAAAATAATTGTGAAGAAAACATGATTTTTGTACTAATAATAATGATTTTTGTACTAATAATATTGATTTGTTTACATATTCACTTGGCTTTAGTTTATGCATTTCCGTAGAGTTGTCAGAGACAAGAGCTGCCACAGCTGCAGCAGCTTAGATGCAGAGTCAGTAGCAACAGAGGTGCAGTCATAATATTTGCAGAGTCAGAGAGAGAGGAGAGAGAGGGGAGGTGGGGAAATGGCAATGGCAAGCAGCAGAGGCAGCAGCAGCAGTACCGTAATCAGAACCATTAGTTTTATCCATGTACAGAAGATTCTGCAGCTAAATGGTCCCTGAAAATAAATATACCTATTAGCAACTCTCCTCTCTCTCCTCTCCCTCTCTATCTCTCTAACCCTTCTCTCTTCTTTGTTTCTGCACTCTGAAATCTGAAAATAAATATACCTATTAGCAGTCTCAGGTTTCATCTTTTTTTTCTCTCTGTCTTTGGTTTCTTTGAAAACCAAGTTTCTGGTTTTCTGCTTTCTCTTCCTTCCTTCCTTCTGATTTGGGAAATAATTAAAAAATAGTATGAGTAGCACTGGAAGAAGCGGCAGGTTTCCTTTCACTCCATCTCAGTGGCAGGAGCTTGAGCACCAAGCTCTTATCTACAAGTACATGGTTTCTGGAATCTCCATCCCTCCTGATCTCCTCTTCTCCCTCAAAAGAAGCTCCTGCAGCTTGGACTCCCCTCTCCCTCCAAAGATCTTCTCTCACCACCCTCCTCACAGTAAGCTTCTATCCCTCTCTCAATCTAAAATGAAGGGAACTTTATACTTTTGAGTGCATATTATTTCTGGGTTTTGTAAAAGAAATGGAACTTTGAAGTTTTGAGTGCATAATATTTGTGGGTTTTGTGAAAAGAATGGAACTTGGAAGTTTTGAGTTGTGGGTTTTTTCTTGCAGTTGGATGGAACTGTTTCCAGATGGGATTAGGAAGAAAAATAGACCCAGAGCCAGGAAGGTGCAGAAGAACAGATGGGAAAAAATGGAGGTGCTCAAAAGAGGCGTTTCTGGATTCGAAATACTGCGAGAGGCACATGCACAGAGGGAAAAACCGTTCAAGAAAGCCTGTGGAAGTTCTCAAAACACCACCAATTTCAACACCAAAGTCATCAAACACTTCAACAAGTACCACCAAAATCAACGCTTGTTCTGCTTCTCCAAGTCCTGCAGCTTTTCATTCCCTTTCCTCATCGCTCTCTTCTCTCTCCTCCTCTGATTCCCACCCTTACCCTTTCCTCTATCATCATCACTCACCTTCTTCAAGGCCTCCTGGAATTGGATTCCCACATCAAGAGAGAAACACTACCTCCTTGTTTTTGGACTCTGGTTCTTATCCCCAACCCAGCTCAGAATACAGGTTTGTCCGTCCCAAACACAAAATTATGCTACTTATTTGCCTGCATCTGTTTTGAGCATTTTAGGGCAGTTAAGGGAGGTGTGTTTGTCCTCGCTGCTTACCCGGCCCTTATGCCGGTTGGCTAGAGTAGTGTGCACGTCCTAAGTTTAAGTCAGTTGGTCATTTCAGTGTGTCTGTCCTTATTTATTGCTCGTGGGTTTAGGCCGGTTGACCATGGCAATGTAGGCGAATTTGGTTTAAGCCGGTTGGCCAGGCGGTGTGCCCTTTGTGTGTTTATGCCGGTTGGCCAGAGCAATGTGCCTGTCTTTGGTTTATGCCGGTTCTTGTGTTTAGATTAGCTGGTCAGAGCACTGTGTTCGTTCTTTAGACTCTTGAGCTTGTTTGCCCTCTTTGCAAATTAGAGTAGTTTAAAATATCGTGATGGCAAGAAAAAGTTGTTGATTGTAGTTGTGTTTTTGTTGTTATTGGTTTGAGAAGAAACAGGTATGCTTATGGGATGAAGGAGGAGGTGGATGAACATGCATTCTTCTCAGAGCCTTCAGGCACAGTGAGAGGCTTCTCTGGCTCTTCATCCATGGACGATTCGTGGCAGTTCACACCGCTCACAATTAGTACTTCTTCGTCGTCGAAACAGAGAAGCTGCTCTGCTTTTCAGAGTGATCAGCAGGATCAGCAGCTTCGGAGCATCAAACATCAAAAGCAAGATCATCATCAGCAGCAGCAGCATTACTACGCTATGGACCGAAATGAAGGATCCCAGAAGACCGTTCATCGATTCTTCGATGAATGGCCCCCTAAAGATAAAGATTCGTGGCTCGATTTGGATGATAAATCATCGAACAGCGGATCGGTTTCCACCACCAGGCTCTCAATCTCCATTCCTACCTCTGGTCATGACTTCCCCGTCTTCACCTCAAGACATCATAATAGTAAGCTGACTTACAAATGCATTTACTTCTGAGTTTGTTTATGATACAAGCAAATATTTACCCTAAGCCCTTAAATTAATTCAAGAGACTCTTAACGAAAAATCCGCGGTATTGTTCACTTTAACAAAAAATCATATTTTTACACTAAAAGATCAAACTTGGTACTATTTATTTTAACTTTTATTTTGTCTTTATTATTAAAACTTAAAGTTTTCAGGTTTTTTTTCATTACTTTTTCTTTAATTCAAACTACGGAAAGAGATTCAAATTGGGGTGCAGCAGCTTTAGCTAACGTAGCTACGGTCATGTCGGTTAATTAGCCAATACAGTGTCTATAATTATTCAGATCCAGTTGAGATCTTTGTCTAATAAGTTCCATATGTTTTTGGTTTTTTGCAGATGACTGAGTTTTTCCAGTGCTGGTTTTCTGAATCAAAGGCCAAAACTGTGCTTGCAGGGTGTCACTATTTTATTTTATTTTTTCTTTTTAGTGTGTGTGTGTATGTAATGCAATGTCTAATTAGTATTGGAGTATTTATTTTTAATCATTTTATTTTAATTTAATATTACGTCTGAATGTCGTTGAATCAGATTATTGCGTTCTAACTTCTAAATGAAGGTTCCTATGTCTCTCTCTGACAATCCTGGTTGATGTCCTGTTCTTCACCATAAATAGTTCCAAATGAGTCAGCCCAAATCTGGTTTATTTATTTTTTGGGGACAATATTTTTGATGTTTTGAGTTGTTTGAAGACGTAATTGAGGAGGGGACCCAAATGGACCCAAGATTTTGGCTAAAATATTTGTCAGTGCTGACTCTGAGACTCTGAGCTTCCACAGTTCAACCCAGGTTCTGTTGGCATAAGAGTAAACTCCAATCCTTCCTTGGAAATCTCTAAACCTAAGGCTACAAGCATTCATCACCCTCATAAATACATCCACCAGCCACTGTACTTTGGATCTCTCTCTCTCTCTCTCCCCTTTCTGTGTTTTTGGACGGCCAAAATGAAAGTAGAACACGTGAGGGGAGATAGAGAATCCGACTCCTATCACAATGGCTTTTCCTTCTTCGCTATGGCAAAACTATGAGAGAGGCGGATCAATGCGGAAATGGAGTCGACTTAAATCAAAATACATAGGGTCTCATACTTTGGTGACAGCTGTTTTACAAATACGCGGTCTGGGTGCTTCTACACAAACTATTCTCCTTTCTTGAGAGCTAGCCGAAAAAAGACTCCTCAGGACCATGGATGTGCCTCCTCCTCCTTCAAAAGGAAACTTTAGTAAGGCTTCCTGACACGCTTGCACCTGGTGTGACCAACATGTAATTGAATATGACTAAAATACATGAGGTTCCATGCTTTTGTGAGAGTTGACCTACTAATGATTTGGTTTGAGTGTCCATAAGTTTTCCTCATTCCTTAGGAGTTAAATGAAAAACAGTTGGCTTCGCAATCACTCGTTTCAGAAAAATTACAGTTTAACAAGTGTTAAATTTCCAATCGTGCAACACTGAGATTTGCAGATTTAAGAAACTAATCCTTTACATTTAAGGTAGTGCTATCCACACACCCCTTTGTTACCTCTCACACCTTGTTAATTTGTTTGTTGATATCCTTTAATTCATTCGATGCGATGATCGAAAATTGAGAGAAGTATATGAGAAATAAAAATAAGTGTGTGGATAGCACTGCCCTGCATTTAAATTAGCTCTTTTTACAGTCTTCCTGCTCTTTTTTACCTTTGTATTTCCATATATTCAGATATTTATGGGTAAAAGAAACCAGAAAAAGGAAAACAACAAAGGGTAAAAGGAAGAGATGCACGTGCACCAGTAATATCTTTCCTTTAAAAAGTATAAATATGACAGACAGTAGATTTACGGAGATATAATATTTTGGTGAATTGGACAATGCAGATACACAAGTGTTTTTATAAAATTACACAAAAATTTAGTCCAAAAAAAAGCTTTCAAAAGATGCCAACCACTCTGCTGCTTCATACAAAAGAGCTAGCTGCCAATTCTTCAGGTATTAAATAGAATATTTATGTTGGATCCCAAGCATTTAAATCATAATTTACAATTAACTCTAACTAATGATTCTACAAAATTAGGCACGTGCAGAAAATCCTCTTCACTGGGTACCGAAGATGGATAGCAATTTGGGCCGTTTGCACTAAAAAATGAATATTTTACAAAGGCTAAAAGAGATCGTGAAAATCACTAGCATGCGATGAAATAGCAGAGAAAAGGGGAAAAAAAGGTGGGAATGGACCCTTTCGATATTGTAGTGCTTTCTTGGAGCTAAAGTTAGTTGTTAAAAGTTAAACCTGCAGGACCAGAAAAAAGAATGCATGGGCGTGAAAGTTGTTTAGTCATAGAAACGAGGCAGGAGAGGAAGCTTTAAGCAGAAGCAACACTATGTAATCTGAATGGTGCAGAAGCCAGTGTTGAGTGAGTGGATCTGTGGATAGGTATAAGTGCTTTTCAGAGAAGTGCTTTTCAGATGGAAGTGCTTTCAGATTTCAGCACATTCAGAGAAGTTAGATGTGATGTGCACTCTCACGTCTCAATCCTCGCATGTCACAGAATCTGAGTGGGTTTTGTTTTGTCCATCAAATACCTCAGTTTCGGAAAGAACAGAAAGCAGAAAGCTCTCAGCTTATGCACTGTCGTTTCAACTTAAGGAGAAATCAACCCATCACAGATGCACGGCGGTCCTGCTGAACCACAATGCATCTCTATCGACGACTGACAATTGCCAACAGGACGACCAACAGAAAAACGAAGCACTGGCACATCAACTGTCTAACTAAGAAAGTTCGGTCCCGCCAGTAAGTTGCTGTTTCGCCATGCATTCTGGGTGCATATACATTCACCCCGCACAACGTTTCGACTTACAGAATAAAACTCAGAATCTACATCTACAGCAATGGATACGAAATGAAGGTGTTGAGCCAAGCACGACGAATGAATAAACGAAGAGGAAAATTAATAAAAATGAAAACTTTGAGTTCTAACGATAAGGATAAAATAAAGAGTAATGTGAATAGTATTAAGATTGACTTTTTAGTGTAAAAATGTGATTTTTCGTTAAAATAAACAGTAGCTATTCCTTAAAGTTCCTTAAACGAAGCTTCTATTAGAATTTTAATTTTTTTTAATTTTATTTTTTTTCTGAAATACAAAATACTAATGCAAAAAATTGTCAAAACTAATGGGGATCACAAAATGAAACTATAAACAATGTAGTGATCCTCAGTGAATTGGTCAATGCCTTAATTTAAAGATTATTATTTGTTCAAAATTTAAGACATATTTACCGCTGATCTTGTAGAGCTCAACATAATGAAGGGATCTTAATCCTCATCGTTAAGATCGGTGTCTCCATTCAGCTTATCACTGCCACGGTGCTACCTTCTCTTCCTTCTCCGTCACTCTGTAACTCGGCAGAATTCTCTCTGACAGGACTGGACTCCGGTTGTTGCTCTGGTTGCTCATCATCACCAGATTCTGAAAATGCCCGCCTTCGTCGAGCTGTGGATTGTGCAGCCTGGAACATAAAGGTGAATACGTTATGGCCAGCAGCAAGGAATTTTTTACTGGGCAGAACAATTTCAACAATCACTCCATAAAAACTTCATTGATGCCGAGGCACCACGACATCCGGTCTAAATATTTTGAGTCCATGTCATGTGGTGACAAAATTGATAAGTTAGTATCCTTGGATTTATAGAGATAATTTACTACCTCCTCGTCAGCGTCAGAATCTTCAAGCCCAGCCGCTGCGAGAGGATCTTGAACATTCTCTTCATCATCCTGCTCATTCATCTGACCCGTGGGCTCCCCGTAATTCATGTTGGCATCTTCATCTTCCGGTTCTTCCTGATCATCCATCATCTCAGCTTCTGCTCCCTCCATTTCATAGCGTGATGTTGAGTGCTTGTCCTTCTTTCTCCTCTTGCCACCCTTTCTTCGTCTCTTTTCACTATGCCTGCCCTCTCATCGTCCATTTCTGACCTTTCCCTTCGCTTAGAACCTGGTGTACTGCTCTTCCATTGCTCCTGAAGATGCCCAAAGTTCTGAGAATCAGCACGATGAAATTCTTATCCTCACCTTTATGCGTGCAAATTGCTCCTCCTGTGTCTCACACGCTTTAGTTCATCCTCTTGCATTCTTCTCTCCAACTGTTACACGAAAGCATGAATGCATATATGATTATGTGAGACAAAAAATATATATATATGATTATGATGTAAACGCATACAAATGTATACAACTATAACCAAAGTTGTACACAGAGTGAAGCAACTTTCGAATACCAAACCTGGAATTTCCTCTGTTCCTCAGCCTTACGACGGGCCTCCTCAGCCAATGCCATTTGACGAGCAACTTCTTGTTTGTGCTTGATCTTCTGCTCCTCATGCTCAGCTGCTTTGAAGTGAACTCTCGCAGCATCAAGCGACTACAATACTCAACATGGGTATCAATTTTTTTCTCATCAAATCCATGGATGTGAAGGCTGGAAGCAGCAGACAACTGTCTGAATAAACGAACAGCATTTTCTAGCTCTGCAACTGTTGCCCACACCTGAAATATTGATACATATTTTGATGAGATATAGATATAGACTAACTAAACATACAATTACAGAAAACGAACATAATTTAGTTCCAACACAGACTTGAATCACTGAAACGAAAAACAGACTGACAACAAAATGAAGTGAAGCTGAGAACTTTTGCATTACAACACCGGCGTCAAACCTTTTTGCAGTAAACTCTTTTTGCAGTCCTGCCACTGCTCAGCTTCGTAATGGGTACGAGCCAAATAGAGTAGAATCTGAGAGTCTGTTATTGAAGAACTTCCTCAAGCAGTTTTGATACTGCAATACAGCATGAGTCATCAGCACATGTATGCATTCATCAAAATAATCTGGCTAAGAAAAACGAGGAAGTACAGAATAGAGAAGCAGCGAACTCACCATTTTCACAGCCAATGCAAAATTGCCTTGAGCAAAATAAACATGTGCCAAATTTATCCACACGTCTGGCATCTAAACAACAATGTTTCCACTGGCAGCTTCTCGAACCTACAACAGCAGAAATGCAGACAGGAAACCACTCATGTACTATACATGAGGTACTGTATACAGCTCGCAATGAACCAATTGTACAACTTACCAGTGTAAAAATGTCTTTTGAAACATCAAAGTGACCCTTCTCTGCAAAGACCACTCCGGCACCATTGGCAGCATACAAATTAGCAGAATGTTGAGATAGGACCTATAGGCATGTAAACATAAGTAAGAAAATAAGTATCTCATTTTTCAACTGATAAAACATGCTACAAAAAACTAAAAAGATTATTGAAGAAAAGAGTTATACTTCAGTGTAGAGTTCTTCCAACTTGGGATTTCTCTTCTCATTGCGAATTGCCGCGAAGTAGTTCCAGTTGCCCTTAAGAGTTTCAAAAAAGTGGTGAGATGTAAATAGTATTAAAGTAACAACTACAATTGCAAATGTGTTTCCCACTGAAAACGGCAGATAAAATTATAAAAATAAAAGTAATACGCACCAGAGATAGGGTGGCATAGGAATCCTTCCCCTCAGTTGCTTCACTAGCAGCCCATTATAGGTGACCCATTAAGAAATTTTCGTGTGAGTTCCTAAAAACAAAACCGTGAGGGCGTGGTCGGGGTCCAAAACGGACAATATCATGCTACATCGGAGTCGAGCCCGGGCTGGGATGTGACAGTTCATTTTAATGAAAAACCACATTTTAACACTAAAAAGTAAATTTTGATACTATTCACTTTACCGTTTATTTTGTTATTTTCGTTAAAACTCAAAGTTTTCAAACCCTTTTTCTTAATTTTCCTTTTAACATAAAAGTTCAGTTATTCAATTAGGATTTAAAAAAAAATTATAATACCTCATAAAAATCCGAACGCATGCATTCAAGATTTTAAACTAGTTCATAAAAATATTCAATTATACTTTAATTTTGAAGTCTTTTAATAAAGAATGGTTTAATAAACTTGCAGAAATCATTTTACTATTTTTTTAATAAACGATATTATTTTTTATCGTAAATACGTAAGTTATGCCTTCCAATAAACTAGTAAAATATAACTCAAATTCATCTTTTAACGAGTATCAAACTTAATACCTCTAACATATCGTCTTAAGATTTCTAATAGAATCGCCTAAAATTCAATTACACCCTCCCTTTCTCTCTCCTCTACCATATTCTTCTCTTTCCTCTCAGCTCGGCCTCCAGGTATCTCTCTCTCTCCTGCTACTTGAAATTTCCCTTCTTTTATTTTTTGGTAGTTTTTTGTTGAGTCTCATCTTCCGTTTACCTCTCAAATTCTTTGCTCATTGATTCTGCAGCTTATGCTTTGCATCCCAATTTATTTTACTTCTCTTATCTCACTAAAACCCTTCATCTCCTCCGTCAGCGTCCTACATCGACTGCAAAATCCTAATCAGAAACCTCCGATATCCGAGGCAATGCCGCTCAAATGGTAAGCACTTAAAACCCTAATCATATATTCGGACAATTTATGTATAATAAAGTTTTGTGCTTGATTTTTGTGGTGATGCAATTTTAGGGTTTTGCATTGGCAGCCCAACGCAGGGACGACGGTGAACAGTCAGATCATAAACGAAGTCACGCAGTGCGTCGAGAGCATCAATGGCGTCAAGGAAGGCAGGTGGAAAGCCACCATCACCTTCTACAAACCCATACTGCGAGGTACAGTACTAAATTTGTTTTGTTTTTCTATCTTGTCTGTGGGTTTTGTTAATTGTTTGAAAAATTAGATTTTGATATAGTACATTGTATGTGCATCATCAGAGCCCTCTTTAACGGGGGAGCCCACGCGTGATTTTCTGGGGATTGCGCTGCCGGAGCAACCCAGTAAGTACTACCTGATAATGCGGTTGCAGCGGATAATTCTCGAGGCGGATTCATCAATTCAGACGATTATGGAGAAGTTACAGTCTTACAAATCAAGGGTCTCGCTTTATTTTGAGGTTTCCCCCCTCCTTCCCCCTTCAATTGGTGTAGTTGGAAGGTTTGGTGTTCTGAATTTTGGAGGTTGAAATTGAGAAAATGGTTTTATTTGTTTCTTTGGTGGTTTATGGTTTAATGTGTAGGGGTTTCATTATCAACTCGGGGACTTCCAATTGAGAGTGGGGAAAGTTATTCCTACTCATTTGGAAAATTTGAGAGGAATAGTTATGGAGGTATGGACTTGCTCTAAGCTTTAAATTTGGTTGAGATCTGATTAGTTTTTCTTTTCACGGGGTTCGCCATTTTGATATTTAGCAAACTTATGAGTGTTTTAAGAAGTTAGATGTGCATTTTAAAAATATATTAGAACTTTGACAAGGGTTGCAATTGAGAAAGTGCCTTTTTGTTTTATTCAAGTGTTTTTGACGGTTCTTTAGGATCTCTTTGTTGGAAGAGTTAATGCTGATAGTAATGCTGATGAAAGTAGTTTTCTTGTTTAGATACCTCGATTAGAGTTTGTTTGCGTGCTAGATTGGAATACATGCTGAAGAACTCTTTGCCGAGCAGTGTGAATAACCAAGCTCTGGCAATTTATGAAAAGTCGGTTTCTTTATTATTGTTCCAAGGTTTCACCTTATAGATTAACGACCTCAAATATTTCCGTTGGATTGATTTCTGGATCTCGCTGTTAACTTCAATTACTTCCCATAAAAAGGCAAATTTGCATTTCTGAGAAATAATTTCATGTTGTCATTGTACTAGATCCTTTTTAATTGAAGTTACTTATGTTCTGCAGCTGGAGTACCTTCCCATTTCTTCGATGGAAAAAGCGAGGCAAGTCATGGAAGAGTTCATGGAGATTTGGCAACAGGCTTTGGCGAAAAGATCATTACCAGGACACTTCATGCATGTGGAACCAAACTTTTCCGAGTATGGCCTTGGAGACCAATATACTTCACAACATACTGCTGTCCAGTATGCTGCCATTATGGCTCAACTCGTTGCAACCGTTCAAGCAGTGCAGCAATCGGCAAGAAATTAGGAAGGAAGAAAAATAATTTGATGTATGTCATGTCACTTGTCAACTAGTTTGATGAACGGATGATTCCAATGCCATATGTTCTTAGCACTGACACTCCTGTTTGAATATAAGAGTTTGGGGAGGAATGAAGTATGCGGGTTCGATTGTCCATGGAAGACAAGAAATCAAATGATAGTATCTTGAGAACCTTTTCGATCACCTTGTTAATGAGGGTTTGGAGTAACGCTGTTTCTCCGTTTATTTTCTGTGCTCATTTCGACATGATCATATTTCCACATCCCTAGTCCAGAACTTCATTCTTGTTTCTCTGACAGACTATGAACACATGATATCAGAGAGGGAAATAGATGTTCTCCGGATCTCTCCCACCAAAGCTCAAAGATCAAGTGATCCTGGCTCAAGAAATTTGATCAAACGGTTACAAAGAGGGGGTCTCTTTAAAAGTTATAATAATTTTAGCTGTTGAATCAACTTTCAATAGTCCGAATCACTTGATTTTTGGGCTTTGGTGGGAGAGATCCGGGGATGATCTCTTTCCATCTGAGAGGAATTGACAAGAAACGGAACCATTTTTGTTGGGAAAAGTTTTCTTTTTTGAAAAAGAAAAGGATTTGTTCTGTTGATGAACCTCTTGAAATAATCGGCAAGGCGTACATATATACATACAGAATCAAAACAATGATTAGGCGTTCGCCAAAAAATAATAAACCTCTTGAAAAATGATAATTTTACTATATTGGTTCATTGTCATGGTGTTAATAACACAAGGACGTGTGAAAAAAATAGCTAACAGATGCTCTTATATTAATAGTACGGAACGCCACGTGATATTTTAAAGCAATAATACAATATTATGAGAGAAAGTTAAAAGTTAAAACATATAACATTGTGTTGTCCTGTGATAGTAAATGTCGAAATCTTGAGTGAAACCGTTATACATGCCCGAGTCCTGACTAGCCAAAGTCAATCCACAAGCACATTTCAACCTGGGCCTTTCCATATGTGCTGAAGCGTTGAGCCCTTCTTGAACCGAAGTACTATAACAAATCCATGCGAATCTGCAAATTTTTGCTTTTTGCACGTATTGTGAAAATTAAGGAAGAAAAACTGGTGCGAGTGGGAACAAAACGGCCGCACGTCCAAGGGAAGCCGCACACTGGCACAACAGTGCCTTACCGCCCTATAAATCCTCTGTTTGTTGGGCTTTGTGTCCATCAGCCACCACTCTCTCTCCTAATATCATCTCCAATAATTAAGTTAAAAATTAAATATTTTAGCTTGAAAAATTTAACTTTTAATCCAGAAACAATTTTTCTACTTCAACTGTTTTGGCCTAAAATTTTAGGAATTATTAATGAACTTAGGCTATTTTTTTCTTAAATTAATTTAAAAAAAAATGTAAACTATCATAAATTAATTTTATGAACATTTTAAATTAAAAATATTTAAATTCCGATAAATATTGAAAAATCACTAAATTTTCCACAAAACAAGCTTTCAACTTTCACCAATCTTTCAACCCTGGGCTAACTTTCAATTCACC